AATTAAACATCAGCAATCTTAAATCTGCTATCTGGGGCTTGCACTTCTGTTGGTAGATATGTGAGCATCAGCAAATGAGAAAAAGTCTGAAAAATCACTAAGCTGGGATATTAAGGGATCAGCGTGATTTCTTAATTCACTCTCGAGGTGAGAAGAAACTCCATCTCAAATGGCATCACTGTAGCAACAGCTCCAAGCCAAGCAGATAAATGGCCTTGCAAAAAGCTCTCTCAGTCAGAAATGGTGTGAATTAGGTCAAGGTTGGGATAATGCAGAGATCAGAAAATGGGGCCTCTACATAAGCCAAAAAGCAAAGTGCTAATGGCCTGGAGAGCAATATATAAAGAGTTCTTAAGAAGAACAACACATCACTAAACCATATATTTTCTCACCAGCAGTCAGCTGCATGTTGGTGCTTTAATGAAGTTACAAGGCAGAACACAGGAATATCTAATCTCCAGAGAACATCATTAGTGGAGACAAACTACATTTCACAATCCTGCCATTATTTTTGCTAGCATCTCATTAATCATTTAATGGTCATTACTCATTATTTGCTTAGCCTGGGCAGAGTACATAGCTGTGTATAAATACTCATATTCACAGAATCACGGATTCAGGTGGTCCCTGGCCCCCAGAGCCAAGAGAGCTGTAATTTTTCTCTGCTGCCAGTAACCATCAGGAGTTTGCATAGGAGGAAATACTGCATACAGTATATTTCCTTCTTCACGGGCAGTTGAAATGGAGATTAACTTCTATTGTGATAAACTGAAGATGCTGCCAGGCAGTAAGGGGTAAAATCCTCTGTCAGGTTTGGATTTAAAGAAGGCAATGATATTGCTCCACTGCCCTCACATTCCAATGGGGGACTGAAATTGTCTGAAAAAGGTCATAGAAAATAAACTCAGTTTCAACCTGGTAGTCAAATACAGACAGGCTCCCTAGGGGTCTACCTGTATGCCCAGGGGTTAGAAACAGGCTCACCTAAAGGACAGAGGAACAAGATACTTGTCTGCAGGCACTGCTGCTGGTAAAGGCCATTTGCAGCGTTAATGGCCTTCACTCAAACACAAGGTGACATATTTCCTCTAAACCTTGAAAAAGCATTAATCCTTGTCCTCTGAATAAACACAGCCAGGTGGAAGGAGTTATCCAGTTTACCAGCTGAGAGGTGCCAAAACCAGAGACTGGAACCTGGTCCTCCCATGGTGACCTGGGAAAGCATAGGTGCTCTCACATCACGGGAATGTGGCATTTCACCAGTGAGTTACACGTCCTCCCACCACCTGGGAGGAGGGTCTGTGCAGATCCACACTTAGAGGGAAATTAAGGCAAGGAATACACATTGCTCAGTACCTGCTCCTTGTGGCCATACAGTGCTTGTTTTAACCGAACACCGTGCGGAGATAGCATCTCTGTGTGGCATTTAATGACCCAAGACATTGAGAAGGAAGAGACATTCAGAACTAAACCAATTTCATAGCCATCTCCTGCAGTCTGTGAATGTGCTGGGCTAGTTCTGCATCCCGGTTTATCCCAGGGTAATTCCACAGCCAGCAGCAGAGGCACAAAAGGGAACAGGGTGATAACTCAGTCTCTGTGGTGCTGGTGGGGGGACCCTGATTGCAGCATGCACTCAGACCAGGACAGTGTCTCTAGGTGGGTGTCAGAGTTGCTGTGCCTTTGCAGATAAGTTGCACAACCTCCCATTTTTAACAGGTGAGAAGTAGTCCCTTTTATTCCTTCATGCCCTTACATCATCTAAGGAGCAGTTGCCCAACCCATGTAACAGTTTTCTAAAGATGTTTCTCTTGTGGCAGGCATTTGAGACAGAAAAAACATCAGTCCAGGTAATTAAATAATTTGTCAAAGTTATAAACAATTGCAAATGGCTCCTAATGAAGTGACTCATGACCTCCCATGCCACAGGCCAGGAGCACTCCTGCAAGAGCCCTATGGGCCCTTCCTCACTGCCGGGAAAAGTGCTCTTGGCAAGGGCCTGTTTCCAGCACAGCAAACCTCGGGACAGGTGAAATGTCTGCTCCTGCACACCGGCTTTCCTGTGGAAAAGATGCTCCACTCCCAGCACAGAAGAAGAAGACCAAAGTGTGACAAAGCCACTCCTGCCCCCAGCAGCTCTGTAATTGCTGGGGTTTGGGGGAGGCCAGGAACCAAGCAGGGTTAGTGGCATAGCCAAGGTGCTCCTGCAGGAACTGGCCCAGGGTGAGTGTGGAGTTGGTGGCACAAACCAAGGGCACAGGCCCAGGCACACTGGACCTGCACTGCTGGCTCTCTGCTCCCTACCAAAATATATGTATAAGGGCTTGCTCTGGATATGCACAAGTCCAGAAGGCATAAGGGCTGCATGCACAGCATCAGTGCTGCTCCTGCATCGCAGGCTCAGGCACAAAACCAACCACACTGTCCTGCTGAACTTACCCTCTTTTAAACGACCAACTCAAGATTTGATGATGAAATCATCTTTTTTCTCAAAGCAAGAGGGACTGATAGCTGTGTTGCACCAAAAGGGCTCTCACCTATATGGTGAGGGTTTCCCACACCTGTACCCACCACTCACTCCATCATACCAGACAAAAAGCCTACAGCTGGCATTTTACTCCCATAAAGGAGCAAAAAAAATCCCTTATGCTGTGTTCTGTAATGCTGAGGCAAAAGCAAAGGGTTTTCCAACACAGACCTCCAAAAGATGCAATGAACAACAGCTTCCAGTGCAGTTTTGGAGATCTGCTGCCAAGGAGGGGCTGCCTTCCTCCGAGGACGGTGCCCTGGAGAGCCACAGACAGCCTCACAGCAGGCTCAGAAGAGTGACTACACTGCTGGGGACGTGGGGCAGGTCCACTTGCTGGAAGACAGATAGATTATTTTAGTCCTTGTTTCCTCTTCACTTCACCCTAAGAACTGTGTAATCAAATGTGCTTAGTTTTGAGAATCATTTTGGACATTTGCCCATGTCTAGCAATTTACTTACCTCAGTAGGCCTTTCTCTCTTTCCCCCAGCAGCTTCTGACGTCTTCTACCACAAGTTAAGGAATATTCCCTTTCTTCTACAATTCAAAAAATGCGTGTGTAGGCTCTGAGTTACTGGTGAGATCCCACATCACAACAGAGCACAGTGATTACCCTGAAGCATCCTTTACAGACCACTAACATCAAGGCCAGGAGATTGCATTTGGGAGAAGTAAAATTCCCTTGTAGATTGTCCTGTCCAGAGTATGTTTCCAGAGGACGTTTCCTACTCCTTTTATATCCTATTTTCATGAGCTGTGAGAAACTATTTAGCCTTTAGGTATGTTTTTGCCCAGGAGAGATGGAAAGGCAAAATTATTTTTCTAAAGTAATTGCTCTACAGAGAGTGCACAACACTTTCTGAAGCAGAGTCAGCACATAAATGCAAGCCATTAAATGAGAAGCCCACTGAGTATTAAAGCAGTTGAGAACCGTGACCAGCTGTGTCCCAGCTAAAAATCACCTGTGGAGTTCAGCCAGGGGTCATGATGCCCTATAACAACAACTTGAAGGGGTCCTGATACCCTATAATGGCAAAATGGAAGCATGAGCTGATTAGCCGAGGGTTTTTATCTGATGGATGAACATTAATAGTCATTTCACTCACAGGTAAAGGAGAACACAAATATCGTGGCTGGATCAATTGTAGTTCATTAAGGTAACTGCACAAGTTGCTGTTCAGATTGGAGGAGATGACGTTATGGCCCTGTGAGTCGTCTGTATGTGCCTTTGAACAACTACAGGTACCTCTCCCTGCTGATCCCTTTCAGAGTGATCCCATCAAGGCAACCAGCCCTGCAATGGGAGCCAGCGTGGACAGAAACCTCAGTGCTGGCAGCAAGTGTACTTCAGTGGAGATGTTTCCTTTGTCTTTTAACAAAATAGGTGAATGTAACACCCTTTCCCTCCCCCCACTTTTCCTGAATCCATCTGGAAACTTGAGCTGAAAAGAAACCTGAAAATGTTCTCAGAGGAAAGCTGTATAGAGAAAAATGATGTTGAATATGTCCTTGCATGGCAATAAGTTGTATTTATCTGTAAAATGAGCTTTTGAGAGGAAAAGAGGAAGTGCCTTTGGGATATTTAAAATGGATAGAAGATGATAATCCAGTACCATGGAACAAAAGAGCCAACTGCTCTGATTGCAGTGTGCCCTCTGATGGGGAGCAAGAAGTGCCCCAGCGCAAGGGCCTTGGACATGTAAGTGTGTTACAAATGCCACAGTACCTATAGGATGTGTATCCAAGAGCAGCCTTTGTCCCAAAGTCCTGTTCCAGGCTTTGAAAGTGATTCTTAGAGCCTCCTGACTGAAGGGTTGGTCCTTTCAGCCTGTTTTCGTAGGGAAATCTGAGCTCACAGTGATGTGGTGTGGTCAGAGCCAGGTGTGTTCTCCCTGCCTCCTCCCTGCCCCAGTCAGGGTTGGGGACATGCTTCACCAAAGAGAAATGGGGGGGCAGCAGTAACACAGATAAGCACTTTTGACTTACCTGATTTATCCTGGTTGATGAATCACTCAACAGCCCTCAATCAGCAGAGAGGGCAGCTCACAGGCATCCACCAATGGCTCTCCATTGAGAGTTACCATCTCCAGGAGGGAGGGACCCTGCATTGCTGGAGGCTGTCACTGGCTAGCACATGGGACAGCCCTGAAAATGAAAAACAAGGTGGAAAAAAAAAAGGTGCTGGAGGTTGTATCCATCACCTCTCCTAGAAAAGCTACCAACCACTCCAGAAGGCAAGCATTGGGTGAGAGACAGATCTGTGAAAGCCGTGTGTCAGTGGGGAAGATAAACCACAGGATTTATCCATCTGCCACAGCAGATCTCTTCCATCCTCATCCTCCTGCCCTGGCTGACTGAGGGCTGAGCTGCATCCCCCTCTCTGCGGCACCAGAAGGAGAGAGAAAGGGAGCCAGGCTGTTCTGGGCAGCCCAGGGATTTCCCAGTAGGAGCAACCCCTGCCAAAACAACACGATGGATCGTTTCCGGATGATCTTCCAATACTTCCAGTCCAACTCGGAGTCTGTAATGAATGGGATCTGTGGGCTGTTAGCCCTGGCTAGTGTGAAGATGTATACCTGCTTTGACTTCAGCTGCCCCTGTCTGCCCCAGTACAACATGGCATACGGCTTGGGGATCATGTTCGTACCCCCCGTCATCCTCTTCCTATGCGGCCTCATCCTCAACAGACAGTCCCTGGTGATGCTGGATGAGTGGAGGAGACCACAGGGGCACAGAAGGAAGGACCTGGCTGTCATCAGGTGGGGTTTGCAGCGGGAGTGGCATCCCTCTTTTCACCTCCTGCTTAGCTGTCTCTCTCCATAGCTTTGATCCTCCTGGTAATTAATTTTCTTGCAAGCTCATCTCCTGAGACCCTTCCCGGTGAGCCTGGAGGGGCAGAGGCATGGCAAATGCCTTTACTTCAGCAGAAATGAAGGCAGTCTATCCCATCCCAGCAAAGGAGAGCAGGAGTGCCTCAACATCTGGATTTGTGACATCACCCTGGGACAGTGTGTTGCTGCTTGCCCTGTCATGTACTCACAGGGTGTCTCCTGGGGCTTCCATGTGCAAAAAGATTTCCACTTAAGTATGCAGAAGCTGTGTCATTTTCTTATCGTTAGGCTTGTGGTTTCCCTCCCTTCAGCTGAGCTTTTACTGACTTACACTGGTGGAAGGGAGAGGAGAATCCCATTCCATTTCTTATATACAAAGTTTTATGCAGCACACAGGTTGGCTCAGAGTGTAGCAAGAAAGGCTGCAGAGAAAAGGAATTTTCCAGGTGGAAACTGAACTGATTAGAAAAGAAAGTGTGAATGTGGAAGGCAAGGGAGAGCTGATAAGGACCTGTCCATGGGAGACATAAGTGCACAGTCAAGGCAAGCATGTAATGAGGAGACCACACAGTGATTGAATGCAGGCAGCACACAGAGCATTATCATGTGCTGATGCAGGTTTCACTGGGAGGCAGCACCAACAAAGAGATCCCAGAGCACAAGAAGCATCAGCTGGGGCAATGATGGGGAGAGTCCTGGAAGTCAGTTCCCTGGCTCTGAGAGGGCTGCTTGGCACAGAACAGCCTGCATTCATCAAGGCTCTGGATGAGGAGAAAGCACCCAGCATTTCCCTACTCACCTCTCTCTCCCTCTTGCCCCAGGTACATGTGTTCCTCCATCGTGCAGCGAGCCATGGTTGCCCCTGTTGTCTGGATCATAGTCACCCTTCTGGATGGCAAATGCCTGATCTGTGCTTTCAGTGGCTCCGTGGATCCCGAGAAGTTTGTGGGCTTTGCCAATGTCACCTCAGTGCAGGTGGAGCAGCTCTTGGCCAAAGTGCCCTGCAAGGACGACGAACTCATGAGGAACAACACGTCCCGCAAGGCAGTGTCCAGGTACCTGCGCTGCTGGTCCCAGGTAGGTCACCGCTCATGTCAGTGAGGTGGCCAGGCAAGTGGCATCTGCTCCTGCTTTTCCTCCATTTGTCACCACTTCACCATGGTCAGGCTGGGAGCGAGGCTGCTCTGTGCTTCTTTATGCCTTTAAGGACTGCTACCCTCAGCCATAATCTCAAGTCACTCAGGTGGGGAAAAGGAAGGAAACAACATATGGTTTAACTAACAGAACTTTCTTTCTAGAAGAACCAGCAGCTTCTAAACCCACATAACAAAAAGCAGGATGCAAGGAATGTAGGTGTCTCCTAAGGTACTGTCCAATGTTAGAAGTTCTTTCTAACTTCTAACCTTGGAGACAGGACCTGCTGTTTTAAGGACAGTGCAAGCATAGACAGATGAAAACAGCTTGCTCAGGAATGATAGAACAGGACACGATGGGGAGAGAAGCCCTCACTGGGTTCTGCCCTTGGTACAGGAGTGCCAGGTCAGGGATGGGGACCAGTGGGAGGTCATTGAAAACAAGCTCTTCCCTCTTACCAAAGGTAGCTGCACGTAGTCCAGGCTGTCTTCACCCTGCTGTGAGGACTCCTGGGCCCTGGAGTCAGTGTAGGTGGCAGATGAGGATCTCACTGGAGAACCAAAGGAGTCCCCTTTCCCTGGGGCACTCCCATGCTCAAAGCAGGTGCCTGTCTGCTCCAGGCTAACTTTGCAAACACTTATCCTTACTGAACAACTGATGGACAGATAAATATCCTATATTTTCTGGAATGAGAGTGCACCAACCCTCTGAGTGCAGTTTGGGGTGCTGGACTTCAGGGGCAGATCAAAGACAGGAGTCCGGATATGCCACATCTCCCCTCCAGCCCCACAAACTCCCTGTCTTGCTGATACAGGCAAACAGCTTCGTGCCTGTCCTTGTGTCTGTCTTGCCCACATCTTCTTTCTTATCATCCAGGCACTTGGCTGGAGCATTTTATTGATCCTTATCGTAGCAGCTTTCCTTGCCCGCTGGCTCAGACCTTGCTTCAACCAGGCCACCCTTCTGCAGGCACGTCACTGGAGCAACTATATTGACATGGAGCAAAAGATTTTTGAGGAAACCTGCTGTGAACACAGTCGTCTCTTTGCTCACAAATGCATCCTCCACTTCTTTGAAAGCATGCGGCAAGAGATCAAACTGCACAACTTCAACTTGCCTAGGGAGGGAGAGAGGGATGAAGGAGAGGAAGATCTTCTCAGGGGCATGACAGATCAGGACCAGGTGAACAAACTTCTGAAAACATGGTACTATGATAAGCCTCCCCTGGACGTCAGTCAGGCAACCCAGAGACGTCCACTGGGGCAAGAGAGATCCCCTCTGCCCTGGGCAGACAGCCCCAGAACCTGCTCCAAGTTCCCCCAGCACACCAATGTGTAAAGAGGGCTTTGTCCTGCAGACACTGAAGGAGCCCTGCCAAGCCTCTGCACAAAGCAAGGATCAGCAGGCAGATGATAGTGGTGATCACACCTTCCTCCAAAACCCCAACTCCAAAGGCTCCGCTTCAGGGCATGCCTAGCAAAACCTCCAAAATAAACAAGCTCTGAGAATCCAAAGGTCCTGGACTCGGTCACTGTTAATGACTTTCTCAGCCAAGGGATCTGTGTGGCACTTTTGCCATATTAAAGAGTTTGCAGCTCCTTACAGCTGCAATAAAACCATTCTGGATTTAGGAAGGATTTAACCGAGGGAGCAACATCTGGCTGTGTACACAAACCTACTGCAGTGGCAGCCTCACAGAGGTGTGAGGAGCTCCTGCCCATTCCAGTGAAACCTGGGTCACAGGGTTAGCACTGCTGACTCAGAAATTATTTAATTGGCAATTCTTTTAGTACCACACCAACATGCTTACTCAAAAAGGCAAAACCACCTCCAACATCTTCCCATGTGCTGAGAGCTCTGGCTGCCTCCCAGCCCAGCTGCCAAACTGTTCTGCCTCCCTCTAAGAACCCATCAATACTTGCATGCATTTTAAAAATAAAATGTGGCAATACACTGAAATTCATGGAGCAGCATAACTTGAATTGAAGATACCCCTGAATAAGGTTGGACTGGGTTGGATTTGCAGAAGGCAAAGGAGATGGAGGCTTTGATTAACACATCCAGAGGCACAGGATTGTGCTGGGGTTCAGGTACCTGCTCTAAGCACTGATGCTGAGCCATAAAAAGGACACACTGACTATGCCTGAGAAGTCTGAACAAAGATTTTAAACACCCTCCTGCTCAATTTGAGTACAAACCAATCTATCCAAAGGATCATCCTTGCATCACCTATTTGGGCATTTCCATCCAGAGTTAAAAACTGTTTGGTTGTAACCTTATCTCTAAGCCTCTAACACTGATTATCTTCTTACCTGCCTTTTCCAGCCCCTGTTGTACATGGGGCCAACTGTCGTGCCAGTGTGACTGAGATTTCTGTCCAGTGTTGCTGCTTGGATTCATTAAAGTCTTTACCGCAAACTAACCCCATACAGACACATCTGTTCCTCCAGGCTGAGCCTTACACTGATGTTCTCTGTGTTCCTAGGAGCAAGGGGTGCAAGGTGGAGGGGCTGTGAGGAGGGGGGTGAAGAATAAATGTCTTCTTGGGCATGCATGGATAGATGGGACAAGCAGGGCTTCCAGGTGGAAAGAAGAGGGTGGGAAAGAGGCAAAGACACCTTGGGACTAAATCCAAAATGAGGGATCAAAACGAAAACACATATATTAATCTCCCAAATTAACTTGTGAAGCTGCTGGCAGGTGGGTCATCTTCTCCCCAGGATGTTTGTATGCATGGGTCAGAGAAGGAGGAGGTACCCGGCAAAACACTGGGAGGCCAAATAACTCCATGGCCCACCTGTGGGCAGCTGCATCCCTCTGCCATCCAAGACCCAGTCAGGAGCTGCAGGGCACAGAGAGATGGGCTGCAGAGCTTTTCTTATTTGCATAGCAAAATCAGGTCTGGCTGAATCCTTGAGCTCTCTTGGACGTGCTCAGAGAGTGCACAAAGCCAGCTGTGGCCCATGCTGGTTGGGAAACAAAAGAGTGGTCTTCCCCCCAGGAGCTCTTTAAATCCAGGGAACTTCGGAGCTCGCATTTGAAATCAGCATTGCATTTTGAATTTTGTCTCTGGTTTACTTTTATCAGACACGATATCACAAATCTGAGGCTGTGACTCAGTTCGGACTCACCATTCCATACTAGTCAAATTGGCTATTTTCCTAATCTGCTCGGAGCAGAGGTCTGCAGCTCCCTTTGCATGCTGCTTTCCATGTTCTCAGGTTTTAAGTCATCCCAGAGTGGCCACAAAATATGAAATGCAAAAAAGAGGAAGAGGAACAGATTTGTTATCTGTACCAGGAGGGAGAAAACAGGAGGGTTTAAGGGTGCTGCCATAGATTTTGCAGGTCTACAAAGGCTCACATGCTTCTGGGAGGGTCAGTCTGATCACGTAGTAGCTCCAGTTGGATGGGGCCGTGGGTGTCCATTCCTCCCAGCCTCCCAGAGTCCCATGCTGCGTTTTCTTCTGAAGCCCAAGAACTCTTCTCCTTCGTGGAAAGTGGATCTGGCACTCCGTGGCAGGACAGGAGGCAACAGGCACAAACACAGAATGCAGGAAATTCCATTTAAATAGAGGAAAAACATTTATTTTGAGGGTGATGGAACAGGCTGTGCAGAGAGACTGGGGCACCATCATCCATAGAAACATTCACAACCTGATGAGATGTGACCCTGATTGTGCTTTGTGCAGACAATCTTCAGACAATCTCCAGAGGTCCCTTCCCACAAGCCATACAAAGAGTATGTGCCCTCCTGTGGAAGTTAAGGCAGAGAGGGCTGTTCACAAACTTTAGCAGCTCTGTCTCTCAGGGCTGTTGTGATGCCTGACCTACAGATATGTCTGACTTCCTCAGGGATCCTCATCTGCTGAGAGCCTATGAAACAGCAGGGATGACTGCAAAGACATTTCCCCAGTCACTTCCCAAACTCTCCTGAGGGGATTTGTTATTGCTTTCGTGTCCCTCCTCTCTATATCCTACACTGACTCGGACATGCAAAGCCCTCCTTAACTTCACAGCTTGGACTCTGTCTTGGCATCCAGGTGCAGGACCCCAAGGAAGGAGGAACTTGGGCATGTACCATCTCTTCCAGGACCTGGTTTCCAAAGCACAAGCAGGTTAGGGTTGTGAGAAGAGGCATCAGCTCTGCCTTCTCTTGCAAATCAGTTGGAGTGAACTTGCTGTTGGGAAGCTCATGGAAACAAAGTTCTCTCTAACAAGGCAACATGGAAAGAGAGATCCAGGCATTGGCTTCTATGGGTTGTTTTATGATTCCCACTGACTTACTGCTGGCTTCAGTGAAAACTGCTAGTGCTGCACACCAAGCAGGCTCAGACCCTTCATTCATGTTTAAAGAAAGGCAGAGTCTTCCTAGAGATCAAAAAGCTCTCTGCTTTTTACAAGGTTGATTCACGCTGGCTTTGATGTGAACTGCCCTTCAAAGAGTCACTCACCAGGTGAATAGGGAAGCCAGCCTGAGCTCTTAGCTAACAATACAATAAGCCTCATCTATATTCATGCAGCAAAATCTCTTCCTGTTTGATGAGATCATGCAATTAACCTCTCCACAGCAGGCAAAGCTAAGACTGCTCAGGTATTACCCACGTTCTTTGTTCTCACCTCTGTGGTGTCACTGTAGGGTGAATTCAGCATTATCAGCTGAGGCCCAGGGCCGGTGTAGGGGAGACGTCAGAAACTTCAGTGCTGACTAATGGTCAAAACACCTGGTTTGGCTTCCTACCTCTACTGACAAACTGCAAAACCTTGGGGAAAAGCTCCTCCCGTGTTCCACCTACCTTTGTACAGCTTGCCTTCCTTGGTGACATGTCCCACAGCCACCAATGCAGCCGTGCTGGTGTCCAGTCAGGTGTATTTTGTTACTCATGTCAACAGCACAGTTGGTGCCTGGACTGGCTGCAACCATCTGTTTTGTGGCTACTCATAGTCCCAGTAATCCCCCATCTTTTGGCCAGCTTTAGGGAGCAATCTAGTGCACCAAGGCTGCTTTATGAACTGGGAATAGAGATGCAGGAGAACATCACCAACACCATCCACTTCTTTTAGATTTCTGCTGTAGGAGCTAAGCCTGGCCTAACCACAAGCATGTCATTAGTGTTTGCCTCAGTTCTGGCAAGCTGGGAGGAATCTGCCTGGTCAGATCTATGCTGGCAACTGTGCCCCCAGGTCTGCAGAGTTGACAGCAATGAGTTTTCACTGCACCATGCATTGGAGGTGTGGGAAACGTGCCCTTAGACATCTTAGCCTTGGGCCAAGGCATATAGCCAAATCCCAGCCTGTCCTGTTAATGGATGCACGTTGCTGTCTCAGGTAGTCCTTGCTCTGCCCTTCCCAGAAGGATTCAACTTCAGAGGAATAGCAGCTCCACTGCACCCTCAGCCCACAGGGCTCCTGGTACCTGCTGGCCTGATAGGCAGGAAGGGTTCTGCACAGTCCATGCCTACACGTGATCTGGTACCTCTGGGAAACGTGGTCCTTTGGGGAATAGCAGCTGCCCTTGGGCCAGGGCAGTCACTGGCAGCATTTACACATCCTTGTTGTGTTCCCAGTTCCTGCACATCCAAAATTCATCAAGGGGTTGGGGTTATACCCACAAGAGGTGACTGCAAGAAAATCATTCAGCCTCCATCACTGCCATTCACAGCAAAGTGCACTTAAGCCCTTCAGAACTGCTCATTGAAAGTGGCTGAAAAGCAGAAATCTGAGGGAAAAAACATGACTCTCAGAGCCCTACTGTGCAGGGAGCATCTCCTGAGAAGGCAGAGGTACCCAGGGCTCAGATGCTTTCAGCAGGATCCACCTGCAGAGTCTCTGTCCCTGCAGCCCTCTCTCCTTTCTGTGCCCTTTTTTCTCCACTCCCAAAGCCAGGACTAGCACTGTGTTACTCTAGATATTTCCAGACTATTTGAGCCAGGGTTTGAAGGATATTTCAGCAAGTTCTGAGGGCACAGGGCTATCAAAAATGAAGCTACAAGTGTCTGGCTGAAATGTGGATGTTTGCAAGACGGAAAGGAGCCACTAGCAGACCTCGGCAATACAGATACAGAGCACCAGGAGCTTTACATCTCTCTCCTCTGCTTTTCCTTTTCCCTTTCCCTTCATTCTGCAGAATAAAACAGAAGAGGTATTTCCCAGTGAAGCAAGTACAGAAGAGGGGGCTGGCAGGCACCTGCAGGTGTTTGCATTAGATGCTGCTGGGGCAATGCAGACATGGAGGAGGGGGGAAGTTCTGGCATCCCACTTTTCCGTGTGAGTCTGCACTGCAGAGGTGGGGTGTTCCTTTCAGTCCTGGGAGGAGCACCCATCTCCTGCATTTGCAAACAGGTTCACAGAGGCCAATCATCCAATTCTACATGTGCCCAGGGCACAGAGTGCTCTGGGGAGGATGCAGCCATGGTAACACTTGCACCCTCCAGCCAAGGGGACTGGTGGCTGGGAGACTGCAGAAATGGGGATATGGGGAAGAACAAAATCAGGTTTTGCAAACCAGAAACAACCCAGGTCCCATAGAAGAAGGTTCCAAAGAAGAGCAGGAGGAAACAAACTCTAAACTTTTGCAATCAGCAAAATCATCAAAAGAAATTATTTTTAACTATTAGAGCTGTAAGAGTGCATGAATGAAACAGTGAACTGCACAGACTTGGTGATGCCCATCTTTGAAGAGGAAACCTGAAAGAATGAAGTAAACTGAGGCCACAGCTTGGACCCTAGTGGGAAGAGGAATCAAGGGAAAATGGACAAGTTTCGGATGATCTTCCAGTTCTTCCAGTCCAACCAGGAGTCCTTCATGAATGGCATCTGTGGGATCATGGCCCTCGCGAGCACCCAGATGTACTCAGCCTTTGATTTCAACTGCCCCTGCCTGCCACACTACAACATGGCCTATGGGCTGGGCATCCTCCTGGTGCCCCCATTCATCCTGTTCCTGCTGGGCTTTGTGCTGAACAACAACATCTCCATGCTGGCAGAGGAGTGGAGGCGTCCACAGGGCCAGCGAGGGAAGGACCCTGCGGTCCTGCGCTACATGTTCTGCTCCATGGCACAGCGGGCCATGATCGCCCCCGCCGTCTGGGTCTCGGTGACACTGCTGGATGGCAAGTGCATCACCTGTGCCTTCTGCACCTCTGTGCCCGTGGAGACCCTGGGCAACACCAGCCACCCCCTCCTCTCCCAAGGGGAGATACAGCGGGTCCTCGCCCGAATCCCCTGCAAGGAGATCTACAATGGACAGGAGCTCATTGCCAACGAAGTGGCCGTCAGGTACCTGCGCTGCATCTCACAGGTAAGAGCCATTGTGGCAGTGCCCTCACTGGTGGTTTGGGGTTAGGCACTGCCAGCCTTAGCTTTCCGTGACAGAATCTCCTTGTTGAAATCAAGCTGCAGAAGGAGAGACTGGTGATTTCACAGGGGTACAAGGTGTTCAGACTCAGCTCTGCAGAGTTATGCCTCCAGTGTGGTGCAGAGGCTGTAGCTGTAGGTTGTCCTGATAATTTGGTATCCCCTCCTGCCTGGGCAGCCTGGGGCTGCAGAGCAGTGATACACAGCAAAACCATATGCAGAGATTTATTCAGAGCAAGTTCAGAAGGGGCTGCTGTGGATATTACTCAGTAGCTGGCAGGCTCTCCCATTGCCTGCAGTTGCTCTTGCTTCTTATTATAACATGTGTAAGCAATGGACTGATAACCATCTATGCCACTTGCCTTTGCCACTTGCATGAGAATAGCCAATGTGTGTTCATTAACCATCCCAGGGAACCACAAGTGAAGATGTGCCACTAACTGCTTGTCCTGTGCTTAATTCCTCTCAAGCCCTCTGCTTCTGGCCATGCTGGAGACAGGATGTTCTGACCCACCTGTCACTCATGTGCTCCTGTTTAAAAGCAGCTCTTCTGCCTCACCTCCTTAGGTAGGGGTTATTATCCCATTTAATAGAAATGGAGCCACAGGGACTTCTCCAAAGACACAAAGCAGATTTTCTTGGGTAGACCCCAATTACCTGCTGCTGGGAAACATTGGGAGCTACAAAAAAAGAGCTCTCACCTAAATACCCCCCTCTCAGATGCTCTTTTAGGGGGCTGAATTTACAGTGGGGTTCACCCTCACAAGCTCTGCCTGCACAGCCTGGCAGCAGCCTGAGCCAAGGCTGATGGTGAACAAGACAGACTGGTCCTGGTTGTGCCCTCATCTCACCCCTCCTGTCAGACCCCATTAACAGGGGAGCTGTCACTGCTGCTCGCTCACAGTAGATGTTACTAAGTCCAACAGCTCGGAAAAAGAGTTAGACAGCTGCATAAACACAGAGTATCTGGAACGATACTGCAAGTCAGAGGACACAGACTGTCCTAGACCCAGGTGAGGTGCGGTCGTATTGGAGGCAGGACCAAGGGCTGGGTGCAGGACTCAGCCTGGTGTTATTTATGGTCACTGCCTGATGATGCTCTGCAAGGCGAAAAGGGAGAGGTGCTGCCTGTGTGGGTGCACTGAACAAAATTTCAGCGCAGATGCACTGATGAGGTACACAGAGTCTCCTCATACAGCTTGGAGTGTAAACACAACCGAATGTCAAACAGCCCAAAGGGGAGCAAGGCTTTTTCTCAGTCCAGGGCTCCTGCTGGCTGGTGGGAAGTGCCAGGAACATGCTCTGCCTGTCTGTGATGGGTCTGGTTCCCCCTCATCCCTGCAGGCCCTGGGCTGGTGCTTTATGCTGCTGATGACCACGCTGGCTTTCTTGGTCAGATCTCTTCGGCCCTGCTTCAGCCAGGCCGCCTTCCTGAAGAGCAGATACTGGTCCCACTACATCGACATCGAGCGCAAGCTGTTCGACGAGACATGTGCGGAGCATGCCAGGAGCTTTGCCAAGGTCTGCATCCAGCAGTTCTTTGAGAGCATGAGCACGGACCTGGTGGCTGCTCGCTGCCAGCTGCCCAAGAAAACCCCTGAGGATGCTGGGGAAGCTTCCAAGAAGCTCTTGGGCATCACTGACCAGGGCACCATGAACATGGCCCTGAAGAGCTGGCACAGATGCAAGCCCCCGTTACACCTTCACCCACCTGCCCTCCCCAGTGGAAACGGCCGGGCAGGAGGGCAGCCCCCTGTGCACTCCTGCACACCCCAAAGGGAGACAGCTGCCTACTACAGCTTGGTGTGAGGGGGTGCAGGGCTATGTAGAGGCAGATTGCACTTCTGGGAGATGGGCTGCAGGGGGGACAGACAGGGCATTCAAACCAGGCAGAGGCAAGAGCCAGCATCACAGCAGCTGCAGGGGAGCAGGCACCCAAAAGCCTCAGTGGTGCTGGTGTGATCCCATCTCCTCTCACATCCAATCCCACAGCACTGGTAATTCAGGCAATGAGTTTTGTGCCCAGCAGGACAACTATGCAAGGTCATGCTGGACGAGCCCTGGGGATGCTGAAGGGGATGTGGTGGGGGTGTGGTAGTCAGATGTGCCGTGTGTCCCACACCACCAAGCACCAGGTTGGTGTTGTTGTTGTGGTTGCCAAGAGAAACACAACCAGATGTGTAAAACTTCCTCTCTATTACGATGTGCTTGGCACTGAGAAGCGCATGCGAGTTTAGGCAGTATTAAAAATCCCCTGGTGGAGAAACAAGCCGGGGGAGCCCCTTTCTCCTGCCAAGTCACGAAACCCTGAATGTCTTCCTATTCTACACATTCTTCCACATACTACATCCCCACAGACATGCAGCTTCCAGGCCAAGAAAAGCTTTAAAATAAATTTGACCCAAGCAATGAGCTAGTAAAGGGATATCCCATGTGCCACTACATGTGACAGCAACAGCATGATTAGTGTCATAGGGACTATTCAACAAGGAGTCCACAGAGATGCTCCTTGAAGGAAATGTCTAGACAAGGGGAACAGTTATCATTCAGTAGTAGAAGGAGGAGGGAGTGGGCCAGGCCAAAATCCTGCCACAAATCTGCCTCAGGACGGTTTGTTCTTATAATTTTTCCTCGATTCTTCCCTGACAAAAGACTGTTGTTAAAAACCACCTGGGTGTTTGTTTAAGGAGCAAAATAAATAATTCAGGCTTACCATTCAAGCTCTGTGTGCTCAGACTCAGGATTTATAAAAGCTATTTACAAAAGCTGTTGGTGTTTCTTTACTTTGATGCAACAAAAAGGGCTGTGAGGGCCCCAGGCCAAGCCCAGGGTGCTGGGGCTGTACGAGTTGGGGTGTTTCGCTCAGAGGAGAAGCCAGAAGGTACTGCCAAACCTACGCAATACAAGGTGGCTGCCCATTTCCATAGAAACTGGGAATGATGGGATGCAGGCCCTTGAGGTGACTATGGAAATCGCAGCCCAGAAGAGTGTTCCCCAGTCGCCCTGATTTTATTGCCAATATGCAGAAGGAAAACCCCTTTTGAGGGATGAGTTTTACCCCTGCTGCGTCCCTTCTAAGACGCTCATCCCCTTGAAATTTCTGCTGCGGTGTTCTTGTTCAAACAACTTATTATGACTGGCTGGTAACTGAGGTGACTGTCATTTGCATAAACCTTAATTATCAGTGTGTAACTCCACAGAGGCTGTGGGGAGAGGAGAACAAAGGACCAAAATGACGAGGAAATTCTCCTTTCTGCTATGAGAGTGCCTTAGCAAGCCAATAGTCAAGGGCAGGCTGAATCTGTCTAACTCCCAAGAGAAAGGAGCGTGACACAGTTTTGTCATTAATCTTCACACCCCAAACTTTAATTAAGGCACCTGCCCTGAAATTAATAGGCACACAACCTGGTTTACATAGCGAAGGAGATTAAAAGATAAAGGCAGTTTCCACTCCTATTATTTGCAGTTCAGTGCTGTTCGTGGCTCACTGAGAAAGGTGCTCTCTGAGTCCCCATGCTGGCGAGGAGCATGGAGGGATGGCAGGCTCCATGGCACAGCCATTAAGGTACCAAAATAAACAGCATGCATTTGCAAAGGGAGGCTTTGGGACTTTTAATTCAGATTTTTAGGATTAGAGCTCTGCCCCCACTCAGCAGATTCAGCAGTTGCAGAGAGCTGTCATAGAGCAGGTAGGTTGTCCTCTCTGTGCTGGATTTTGGGGAAGGTTGTTCATTACCTTTGGAAGGAGACCCTGGGTAACCTGACATGGCCCCCGGGATTTCAGGCGGGCTGTGGTCCAAGTGCTGAGCCCGTTTAGCAGCAGCACCCTGAGCGTGGAGCAAGCCCCAGGGTCCCCATCAAGCCAGGGAGCCAGCTCCAGGCAAGCATGGAGGTGTGGGAGTGCCAAGGGGTGCACCACACCCAAACAACTGGGAGCTGCAAAAACCAGCCTGAGGACCCCAGATCTGAGGGTAGGAAGGAGGACTTGGTCCAAAATCCCATCATCTGAACTGCCAACGCTGGGCCAAGCCCATATTTGCTCCAGGCAGAGAGGAACGTGGGTGTTGCTGAAGATTTGCCTGGGCTGAAGACATCCTCTGGGGAGGGCAGAGTTTAACCCTGGGGACAAGATGACAAGGAGGCTGGGGAAGGAGATTAGGGACCTCTGGCCTCTGCAAAAGGCTGGGCAGGAGCTGGAGCTGAGGGACAGGTGGCAGAGAGGAGGGAGCAATGCAAGGAGAAAGTGAGGTGTCCTTGGCTGCCTCGCAGGCATCGCTCAAGCAGAGGAAGCAGAGGACAGAAAAGCTGCACTGGGCAGGAATGGATCGTGCTTGCCAAACAGCAGGCTGTGCCCAGCCCCGCACATGTGGTCCCCCGGCCCTGCTCAGCCCCCAGCCCACTGCAGCAGCCCCACTGCTCAGTCCTGGCTAGTGGGAAGCAAAACTTGGCCACCCCACAGAGCGTGATGGCAGGTTCATGCTTCTCTCGAAAACCGAGCCAGGCGGGTGCCTTCCCTGCCTGCTCAGCCAGCTCCCATGTACTAAAGCAGCAGTTTCTGCCCCTTCTCGTGTGACCACGAGATTCCCCCTGCCTGCTTAGGGTGGCTCCCACCTGCATCCCCTGGGGACTATGGGGCTGCATCCACCCTGCAGGCTGGGGGGATCCCCCATTTCTCCTTTGCACCCCAGCAAGGTGCCTCAACACTCCCGTTCTCCAGAAAAACTCCAGGCCATCCCGGCCAGCCACTGCACAGCTGCACCGCGGGTCTGAAAAAGGGCGATGAGTTTTTTCCAGTGACTCATTCTCTGCTTTTCATTTCCTTTTTTTTTTTTTTTTTTATTTTAAAGGCACAACCTCAGCCTTGCTCGCAGCAGAATCCAAGCGCCACTCTTTGCCCCACCCAAGAAGAACTTCCTCCCTCCTCCCAAAAGCGGAGGGCATGTTTCAAACTGAATAAGGAAGCCTTAACAAACTCCTAAGGCTGTTTTCACGAGAGTTCGTTTCACCCATCAAGCCGGCCGCAGCTCCATCCCCACTTCTGCACAGCCCCGTGCGCTGCTGGGAACCCACCACAACCAGAGCCCGAGCAAAAACCACGTGAGAGGCTGAGAAGGCTCCAGAACTGGTTTCAACAACTCTTCAAGTAAGTGACTTAATTTCTTCTTGTTTTCCTGCGTTTTGGGGAAAGACTTTAACAGAGGCTGCTAAAAAATTATCTGCTGCAAGCAACTTTTCTCCTCCCCTCCTACCCAACCCTCTTCCCAGACCTTAACTACCAAGCAGAGGCAGAGTGACCCCCCCAGCCCCCCCCCAAACAGCATACTTCCCATTGCCAGCTCCTCTGATTTTTGCTTTGCTGTTTACCAGGCTCTGTCAGGAAGGTCACAGGGTTGTATCAGGATTATTTGTGGGTAACTAATAAATAGGGGCTTGAACTACAACAAGTTTGGGGGTTTAGCATCTGGCTGCAAACGTGGTGTTCCACTAAGTGCAGCAGCTGGAGATGGAGGCCTGGCTCCCCACCAAGTGGTGGCAGTTTTCAGCTGGTCTGTCTCCTTTGCAGATGGAGTTTTGCATGTGGAAAACTGGGAAGCTGCGGGAAGATGTTAAGGGCTGTTTGCAGTGGAAGTCAATGTGATTTTAAAGGGATTGCCATGGGTTAGACACAACAAAGAACAAGAGGCCAAATTTCTGCCCCCGTTCCCCTCTGCTGCCCCATGGCAGAAGGGGGTAAACCAGCATTTGTCAGGGCAGCAGATGAGCTGAGGCACAGTAGTGAAAACACAGTACATGAGAAAGCCTTGCACAAGAGATCATAAGGATTAAGGTGCCTTTGTCTCTTCTGCACAAATGTCCCTGAAGTCTTGTCCCTGCAGTCGGGGCTGGCCCAGGGAAGCCTTGCTATGTGCATACCAGCAGGGAGATGCTGGCACTGGGGCAGATTTCAGGGCAGCCCTGCTGTGAGTCGGGCTCCCTGGGAGCCCCAGATGTGTGCCAATCCTGCCAGCACTGCAAGCTGCCACAGATGGGTAGTGGGGTGCCCGGATCCTTCCTGTCTCCAGCAAACCCTGGTGACAGCAGTTCCCCTGAGGCCAGCAGGTTTTGTCACACGAGTGAGGGTTCCCAGACCTAGCAAGGTGCTTGAGGCTTCCTGAGATGAAACCCTGTGGGGATACGGTGCAGACAGAAAGTCAACTAAGAACTTAATTAAATCTATCTTGCAAGCGGGCTGGGGGATCGACATCACTGCAGAGAGCATGGACACATTCCCCAGTTATTGCGTTATGCTTCAAAAAAATCAGGGCACGTGCCCTTGGTCCTGAGTGCCTGCAGTCCAGGCAGTGGGGTATAACCAGTGTTGTGCTGGGGAAGCTACACAGGCAAAGGGTAGTGAAGGACATGTCTGGCACTGAGGTGTGCAGGTTGAGGAGCTCAATTTCAGGGCAGCAGTTTTGACTCTGAGCTGGGACTGCAGGCCGGGACAAGGGAGTACGATTATGTCAATCAGCTGTGGGAGAGGAGAAGATCATCCTGCCACACCTAATCCTAGCAAAAACTCCTACATAATAGCTGTCCCAGCTCTACTGGCATTTGGTGTTTGTATCCCAGGTCATCAAGCTAAGCTCTGCTTTCCCAGACAAGCTGGCAGCAACAGCCCTTAAGCACCCCCTCACCCCTCTCAGTGGAGGCTGCTCCTGCCTGGGCCTCTCATACCACATCTCTCTGTACCCAAATCTCCTGGGCTGTCTCACAGCACCCCTTGCTGCCTCCCTCACATAACTTTGCCCATTAATTAATATTAAGTCATCAGGTCTAAAGAGGGAGGTAAAAGCCACACACAGCACCTTCAAGGCAGTGCGGCACCAGCACCCACGTGCCACATGCAGCTGGGCTAGTGTGAGTCAGTGGTAGGGCTAGGGACACATCCTAATGCCAGTGCTCTGGTCCAGTTTTCCCGGTAACATGGTGTCCTTCTTCATTGTAGGTTCGGGAGATCATCAAAAGTCTGGCAGCGACGCTGACAATAATTGCCTCTGTGGGAGGTGACTAAAACCAAAGAGATGGAAAGATGACAACCATGCAAATGACAGGGGCAGAAACAGATGTCCCACCTGTAACCTTTGCTGTAGCAATGCTTTTGGAGAGCGTAGTGGGAAACTAAAGTGTCAGAGGTTTCATATATTGCTTAGGCTGAATCCCTTTTCAGCCCCTTTTGAAGTATCTCTGGCATCAGCAATCAGCTCCAGAGGCTGGAACACCAGGTAGGAGGAAGAGACATCACTGAAGGTGTCTTGCTCCTGGAACAGCGCCTTGCACGTCAGCTGGCACAAGACCCTTTTACCTCCCCCTGAAGTGATCCTCGGTGCTGGGAGGAGAGCCAGCACAGCCCCTCACAGTAGCACACTCCTCCTCTCATCCCTGGGACGAGATGGCCGCCCTCATTGCTGAGAACTTCCGCTTCCTCTCCTTGTTCTTCAAGAGCAAAGATGTGATGATCTTCAATGGTTTGGTGGCCCTGGGCACAGTGGGGAGTGAGGAGCTCTTCTCGGTCGTTGCCTTCCATTGCCCCTGCTCCCCTGCCCGCAACTACATCTACGGGCTGGCTGCCATTGGTGTCCCAGCCCTGGCCCTCTTCCTCATTGGTGTCATCTGGAACAACCACACCTGGAACCTGGTGGCTGAGTGCCACAAGCGTGGAGTCAAGAACTTCTCTGCCGCTGCCACCTTCCTGCTCTTCGGCTCCATCATGGGCCGGGCAGCTGTGGCACCCGTCACCTGGTCGGTCATTTCCCTGCTGAGAGGGGAAGCTTACATCTGTGCCCTCAGTGAATTTGTCAAGCCATCCTCCCTGGACAAGTTTCCACCTGAGTACGGGGCTGAGGTGCTGGCCAGGTTTCCCTGTAGAGATGTACCGGCAAACCTCACCAAGTTCAGGGACGAGGTGACACGGAGGCTGAGATACGAGTCCCAGGTAGGCACGCCAGGGGGAAAGCCACATGGAGTGGGTAAGACCACCTTGCCGTGTCCTAACGCAGCCTCTCTCTTCTCTCTCAGCTCTTTGGCTGGCTGCTCATTGGCATCGTCGCAGTCCTGGTTTTCCTCACCAAGTGCCTGAAGCACTGCTGCTCGCCACTGAGCTACCGGCAGGAGGCTTACTGGGCCCAGTACCGCTCCAATGAGGACAAGCTCTTCCGACGCACAGCCGAGGTCCACTCCAGGATCCTGGCAGCCAAGAATGTGAAGCACTTCTTTGGCTTCGTGGCGCTGGACAAGGAGGAAAAGGAGCTGGTGCAGGAGTTCCCGGTGGAGGGCGTCCAGCCGAGCCCCCAGTGGAATGCCATCACAGGTGTCTACATCTACCGGGAGAACAAGGGCTTCCCTCTCTATAGCCGGCTCCACAAATGGGCCAAAGGAGTGGAAGGGAATGGGCCAACCCCAGAAGGCCATGAACTGCTCTTTTTGGCTTCCTAAGACAGATGGGCGCTGGCAGCAGTTCCCCAGACTGCCTGGCAGGCCTTCTTTATCAGCGCACAGTGAGGGATTCACTGGGAACATTCCTCCGGGCAGGATTATTTCTCCCAGTAGGCAAACAGGGATCAACAGCCTTAAGGTAGAGAGTAATAAGCAATACACTGAGCTGGGGAACCCCTCCCTCAGAGACAACAGTCTTGCTGCTGTTCCCAGAGACACAGCTGAACACAGAGCAGATGCAGCCCTCACCTCCAGGCTGCCAGTGCACCCCATCTGATGCACCAGCAGAAGCCTTCGGGAGTGAGAGATGGTCACAACATTTCTCACTGTGACTCCTGCAGTCTCACTTGCCTCCCCCGTGGCAGTTAGCCCCAGCCATCCCACACATCTACTTGTTTTATCAACGCTGGTATCTTCTTACCGCAGTTGTGCAATGCCAGTTACACAGGCAGGCCCAGAGCACTTTACAGACTTTACAGTACAGGGAAAAGAGGGAAATGGTAAACTCCTGTGGAAAGGGGGATGCAATATCATCTGGGAAGGAATGGATCAGTAATATAGCCACACACCAAATAACTGAAAGACTAAGGCAGGAGGAACCACTGATATTCCTGGTATTCAGAAAGGCACTCTGTAATTATTAAGTTGAAATTTGGGTAGGACACCAAACTCCCTTTGTTCTTACTGAAGTGCCTAACAATCACTAATGAGCCCAAATGGTCACCCCCATTTTATAAACCCAGAGGAGGCACCATCAGCAGAATAGTTTTCGGGTGAGGTGGAGGCTGAGAGGAATCGCTACAGTGAGCCACACCACTGTCTGCAGCTCACTGAATTTCTCATCCAATCATTGGATAAATTGTCTTTTTTTGGGTTGCAAGTTGCAGGATGACCTCAACCAGAATTAGTTTTACATATATGTAAAATAAACATATACATATGTGTAAAATAAACATAAACATGGTGTGTATACTACATAACTGTAGTTAGTTAGTTGTATTAATGGAGCATCTTTCTTGGAAGGGAAGTGGGATAAGAAAGCTGCCAGCCAAAAAAGCACATTGCATACACCCATCTGCTGCACTGGGACTGCAGCCCTGGAACAACGAGGGAAAGCAGGAACAGGATGGGGAAGCAGCCCTCTCCCTACCTTTCTACCACTGAATTTCCTATAACTCTTTCCACTGCCTTAAATGATCCCTGAGAACAGAAGGCCTTTTATGGACTTGGCCATACTCTGAGAAAGCAAACCCAGAAAGGTGGAAAATTACTGCCCTCACCATGACAGTTGACTATGGCTTCAATGCTGCTCTTTCGGCATTGCACAGTCCCTCTTCTCCCAAGGGTCAGCCCCATGTACACGACACTGTTTCAAGAGCTGGTAGGACAGTAAAATTTGTTTTTCCTGGTTGTACTGTTTCGTTTTAGGTACAACTTCCTTTTACACTGTACCATTTACCAAAAAGCCGTAAGTTGTTACAAAAACTGCTCAAACCCACAGAACTCAGAGGGGCTTACAGACAAGGAGATTTTAAATAAATTATTAAATGAGAGTTATTTTTCATTGCTTTCTGAGTTGCTGGGTTTTTTTCCAGGGTGGTACAAAAGGCATAAATTAACATTCTCTTTGAACTGAAGAACTGGGAACTTGTTTTTTCTTTCTATTAAACATTCAGATCTTCTCCTATCCAGATCATCCCAGAATGTTTTCAAGTATTACCAGATACTACAAGTTAGTAACACAGCTTTTTAGTTATTCTTGCAGTGAGTAGCACAAATCTTGTACATCAGGATACACAATTGCAGGAAAGGAGAGAAAATTATTTAGAAACCTTTTCACAAGTATGGTGCCTTGCAAGGAAGAGCTGGAGGGTATTCCCTGACATAAGGAGGCTGGAACAACCGCTTAATGGGTGAGGCATCCCAGGATCCCTGTTCAGCTTCTCTACAGATTTGCTTTGCATTTGTGGGAAGGCTTGGCTCCCAGCCTCACCATCAACTAATCTGCAGAAATGATCAGATGGGAGTTAAATGAAATTGCATTAACTTGAGATGAAAGGGAATTCATTTGCATTTCTTCCTACTGGCCCTCGAGTGTGAACATGCAGACGCGCACGCCACCCCCACACAGCCAGCAGACACAAGGTAACTTGCTGAAACAAAGCAGTGTTCTTCTTACTTCCTTTATTTCCCTTGCCTTTCTCCTTGATAGTCCTAGTTGTTCCTTTGAACCACCTCCACTCTGGTTCCTTCTCCTTCCCTTTCCTCCTTTGAAGGAGCAAGACACATAATGTTTGAGAATGGATTTTTATCCTAAGAATAAACCATTAGCAAAAGAATCTTTTGCTCTGTTTACCTCCCTTCTCTTCTGCATTAAATCCAGTCACTTTCCTTGTGCTGAGATGGGCTAGAGGCTTGTCCAGCTTGTCGGTTTTCCCTCCCTCGTGTTGGAGAGGCATGTTTGAGCGGAGAGCCGACAGTGAGGAAGCAAAGCCACCACACAGAAATATTTCTTTGCAGTTGTGGAGATTTGGTTTTTTCTCTCCTCTGCCACCCTAAACATGGCCCCCACTGAGGCAACCCTGGGCTTCTGCCCCTCATGGCCCATCAGTACCCTCATGAATAACCCTGTTGTTCCTGTCACTCATCCTCCCCCAGTGACAATGCTGAGGTGAGGGACATTAAACCACTCGGCTTTACACACTGGCACAATAAGCCAGGCTAGGATTCTCACTGAAAAGCCAAGAGGAAGATTGAGCCACCTGTCTTCCTGGTGTGACAGATCACACAGGCTGTAAGCTCATACCCTCTGCTTTTCCTCCAAAGACTGTCAACAACCCATTGCAGAGCAGCCTACAGGCTGCCAGGTAGAGTACACTTCCCAGCAGCAAGATGGGTTCAAATCAGGCTACTCCAGTACAGAGAATTACATACTGGTCTTTCCCTGCCCACTGCAGAGACTATAATAGCTCCAGTAATGAAGAAGAAACATACCTCAAAGGGACCTTGGTTTCTGTTGCAACGCTTATTTACGTGTTCTATTATGCAACTAATTAAACCAAAAGAAAAACCCAACGTCATTGAAATTGTGTTCTTTAAAAAAAGCAGCAGCTGCTACTGGATGTTGCAATCAGCTTCCTCCACTACAAGAGCACTAAGCAAAATCCGAGTATAGTACCCTGCACTCCCCAGGGGCAAGAAGAGAAGTGACTTGTTTCTGGATCCCAACGGACTTGGGAATGAAAGAAATGCTGAATCATTCAGCCTTGCCAACACTGGGCATTCACAGAGGCAGAAGAGCTAGGTCCTGCAGAGCTCTGGTTGTGAGTTCAGAGCACCTACAATGAGTAAGACTCCTCAAGTTTGGTATTTTAAAGCTGGGCATCCACTCACTAGTGTCTATGCTGGGTAATCACACCTGTTTGCACACCCTGCTTTTTCCCTTGCCTTGAGTTCTTCCTCTGTAAAACATGTGGATGATCACATCCACATCTTAGTGGAAAGTTACAAGAATATAGAATCATAAGGTTATGGACCATAAGGCACTGAGGCATCAGTGACAGAGCCTATGCAAGTACACAAGACACCTGGCTTTTTCCAAGCAGAAGGTTAGATTGGGATAACTTCTTTTCAGCACGAAAATCGCCACTTTTTACTTTGACTTCAGTGATTTCTCTTAAGAGACAATGACTGCTGAAAATCACAATTTTTTCTGTCATCATTTTTTCAGTCCCTGGCAACTTGTTACAACAGATGGTTGCTCAGAGAGGCTGTGAAGTCTCCATTCTTGGGGAAATAAAAACCGAATTGGATGTGGACCTGAGCAACCTGGTCTAGCTGGTTCCTCCTGCTTTGAGGAGGAGCTTGAACCAGATATCTCCAGAAGTCCCTTTAAACCTCAACTGTGCCACAATCCTGTGCTGCTCTGACAATTTACAGGAACACAAAGGCACCTGAGATAGATCTTTTGATGTGTTAATTCATCCAGAAGGTAAGAATCTTCTCTGCTATCTTGAGAGTTGAGAGAAATCAATTTATAAGACATTATTGTACTTAAAATCAGTGCATCATAACTGCACCATCTCCCCCAGAAAGTAGAACAGGTATGGCTGATATTTCTATTGAATATAAAACCAGTCTGTATTTAAAAATGTGTCATCAACAGAGCAGGATTATTGTAACATCTGGATAAAGCTGCAAACATTTACCAAATCTTTCCATTTCACTGTTTGTTCTTTCCAGTCTGGTTTGGTCATAGACAAACACTCTCCAGAAACTCACTGTCCATGGACAGCCACGGCAGAACTCCATGCTCTCAGTTCCCACACTGCATGGAGAGTCAAGTCTCTCTGCTTCTACCTGCACCATACTTAGGTGTCAGTAAGGGAACTCTTGGTCTCCACGTACTCAAGTGCTGCTTTTTTAACAGCCAGGACACTTTCTGCTGTACCAAATTTCTTTTCATAATCCAGGTAGCGTTTGAAGAAGAATTTCATCTTTTTTGGTGCCAAGCTCAGGTGTATGACCCTCTCAAAGATGTCCCTGCAAGAAACCAAAGTGATTCAGATCATTGTGTCAGTGACAGCACTCAATACAAGCCCTGTACCCTGTCTTTTAACAAGCAGAAAGTCAGAGGAAATATTCAATCTGCTGTGAAGTGCTCATGATTGAAGAAAGAGATTCCTGACAATTGGCCAAAATCTCAAAGTAGAAGCTTTTTATTTGCTTGCAGAACTCTAAATCTGCTGGTCAACTTAGCAAACATCCATCCACTGTATTGGACCCTGCATTTATTAAGTAGATGTGGAAAATTACTTCCTTTTGTCAACTCTCAGAAAAGAAAACAGAAAAAAACCCCTACAAGATATAAAAGCACTTGATCTCACCCTTCAGATACAAGGAAATTCCTCCAGAGGGACAGATGAACCTCAGTGCAAGGCCTCTAGTTTCTGTAATGCAGGCCACTATTCACAAATCAGACTCCCTCTGTCTTATGGAATTCTTTGGAGTCTCCTCAGTCCCAGCAAGGACTTTCTCTAGGTGATAAAGATTCTTTTTTGCTCTGCTCTGGGAAGCCCTGTACAACCTCACGCTGCAGGGCACCTCTGCTCTCTTTGGGTGTCCCTCTGGGCACTGCGTTCCGCCCCTTCCCAGCCTGGTGCACCACAACTCACCGTACTTCCTTCTGGCTGCCGTGTTTGATCATGATGTCCATGTAGATGGACCAAATGTCTGTCCGCTTGGGATAGCTGCTGAGGGTGCTCTCAAAGAGGGCCTTGGCGTGCTCTGTGTCCTCAAAACGGAACTCCAGCTGTGCAAACCTTGAAATGACATCCACGTCTGGAACAAGTAATGACATGTTAGGGTATCACAGCAGCTCTCTCCATACAAACAAATACAAGTGATAAAAACATGAAAAAGGGCAAGCATAGAGACAGAACCATCTCTACCCAGAGGCAAAAGGCTCTGTTGTAAAAAGGTTCTGGACTAAGGTGGGATCAAAGTGGGAGAGAGAAGGGTCACAGTTCACTTCCCATTTCAGCTCTCTGCAGGAGAGGTTTGTTCTTACATTCAAAATGTATCATGCAGCATCTATGGGCAGCCCCACAAACCCAGAACTAGATCAAGTGAACAGCCGTAAAACTCAAAGTTGCCTTTGCTCTGGGTGCTTTGCTTTTGTGTATCACAGCAAATTCTATTACAGGCGGATTTAGCATCGACATCCAGCTTGATATTTCCCCTCCTGAGAGACAAGGGCAGCATGTTCAGCATCAACTGGTTGCACTTTTCACTTATTACAAATGCTGTCACAGGCAGAGATATCAGAGAGCAGCCCATCTCCCGGAGACCTGTCACCATTAAGATCCACATTAAGGATTGAGCAGAGTGCTTACGTTCTTTAGTAGGCAAAGCCTTGAGAGCACGCTCCAAAAGTCTGTGTGTAGCCTCAGTCTGGCCTTGCTTCAAGAGGAACGAGGCATATTTCAGCCACACGGATTTCTCCTGACGAAAACGCTTCAGCATTGTGTGGTACAATTCTTCTGCTTGCTGGAAGGGCAGAGTTGGGTTAGATCACACAGATTCATAACTAAGACTTGGAGTTTTAAAATTCTTATTCTTAGGCCAGGTATCTCCGAACACTTATGACAGAAAAGCATCAATGCATCCTTGTCCACTGTCAATCATAACTATTAATTCCAGTTAGGAACAGGATAGGCCTAACATCAGCCAGCTGGAAGCCTACACAGCCAGCACTCATAGCTTACTGGCACGACTGAACGGGATACGTGCCTGGGACCTGCCTGCACTATCTTACCTTGTACTTCTCAGAATTGGCATAGATGTCACACAGATGCTGGAAGACTTTCAGAGGTTCATTGTATTGGACAGCTCTCTCAAAGACCTTCATCAATGTCTCCTCAGTACCATACATGTTCTCCAAGTTCAGCAGAGCTACCCAGACATTCAGCTTCTCCTGTTCTTCCCTTAAAGCAGAAACAAACAAGAATATTTAGCCTTTGCCAGTGTTCACCAGGTTTTTGCAAACCACCCTACATACACTCACTGACTTGTAGGCTGCCTCCAGGACAAAGAAAGAGGACATACTGCTCCCTGAAACACCACTTTTGGAATAGAGTACAGCAGTTGTTTCACACTGCAGTTTTTGCTCACTGTTGTTTGTAATTAAAAACCACAAGGATGATTCAAGAAAGCACAATATACTTAATCATGCAGTACAGATGACTTAAGGTGCAGCCCTATGGCAAAAGGGACAAGAGTTCCCAGTTTGCTTCATGTTTTGATTTAAGGACAACATCACAAAGCATTATGCTCTTCCCTTCTGACTGCTCAGAAGGATGTCTGTGTACCCAGTAACACCTTCGGGAGTTACTGTGCTCGAGAGCTGCAGCA